TGCCACAGGAACAGGAAACTTCCAGGCAAGGCTAGAGGGTATAAAAAGGCCTTCTACCCATGTGCTCTCTCTCTTTTTCTTCTCCTCTGCTGCTTATCTGTCTTCTGCAATAAACTGTAACCTTCTTCCCAAAGCAGTTGCCATGTTTGCTTATTTATTCCCGGCTTGGATGAACCAGGATGAAGACTTACTACTAACACTTTCTAAAGAGAATGCCTTTCCCCTGACATTTTTGTAATAACAAAGATAGCATTCATGGGAAAAGGAGAAAAGATGTAGCAAGGAAGGCCTGCCTAACAACATCCAAATATCAGGCTCAGATGACTCTCTCCAATCCATCTTTTCTGCAATTAAACAGCCAACATATGCCGAAGCTTATAGGCTAATGATAACTAATTTAGTTAGGCTGGTGGTATTGATTTTACCTGGAATTCCCTGTGTGATTATTGGCTTATTTTTCATATGTTACTTGTTCCCAATAAACCTCTTTTCATTTAAAAAGGGAATTTTGTTTCTAAAACTTCCTCTATATATGAGACTGCATGGCCATACCTTGTGTTTCAGAATTGGCACAATGTTTTTTTTAAAGTTCCGCAGTGCTGACTTTGGTCAAAGTATCTCCTTTTCTGTTTTGCAGACCCAGATGAATGACTTAGAAGTCCCCAGCTAGACAAATTAGGGCATGTCAGGAGGTGGCAACTAACTGTAATTATATCTTTTAATAGGGAATCTTTAGAAGAGGGGGTCTGCCAAAGAAGTTTAAATTACCCCTTCTAGTTTGAGCAACTCCAGAAGATTTCAACAGGCTGATCATGTTTCACTTACTGATCTTCCTCAACAACATTACAATAATGTGCAAAATTTCCACTGTTGAAAATATACAGAGAAAGGCAAGCATGCACTTCCATTTATTTATTATTGTGCTTATGTTATTTCATGCTGAGAGCTCAAAGAATGGTGTATAACACACTGGGTTCTAGATTTTCACCTTCCTCAATGTTTACTAATTTCAGCCAAGTTTTATTGTATGCCTTCAAAATCCTTGTTCATCTTGCAATCAACCACCATATGATAATTTAAGTTATAGATATATCTCTTATCTAAAATCAATTTAAAGCACCTGCTCTATGTGTAGCATGGATGGAGGTTTATGCCACTATTTAAGGATCAAGTCTATTCAATGTCCTTTACCAATTATTATACTAGCATTTGATAATGGAGAATGAAGGATGCAGGTTTATTCAGATGTGAAAGAAGTTCCTGCATTTTTCTCAGCTGAGTTGAAACTAGAAACTTTCAGAAAATTTGGTATGTCCAAAATTTGCTGAAATATCCTATGGAACATGCAGGATCTTTTCCTCCTTTCATTGGTTCCCCTCAATAAGAGGTCTAATTCTTTGCCAGCTCCATTGTTGTCTATAGTTATTTGCTGTTCCCCACTGGAAGAACATAGGGCAATTAGAAGATGTCCTTTTTGTCCTTATTATTGTCATTAGCTGAATGCTTTAATACCAAAAAGGAAGTTCCAGGGAAAGTTAAAAGTAGGCCTTGAGGAAGCAGGACCCTGGCAGATTGATTATACTTATTCCTGGCACTGCCCTTAGCAACTGCTTGGAAAACAACCACCACTTTTTTCCATTGGCTTTGTACTAGTGTCTTCAATAGTCATGATGTGCAGGTCACTGTATATGCATCTAAGGCAGTGTTTCTCAACTTTGGTAACTTGATGTGTGGGCTTCAAAGCCCCCAGCATGCTGGCTGGGGAATTCTGGGAACTGAAATGCATACTTCTTCAAGCTGCCAAAGTTGAGAAACACTGATCTAGGCTGCGGAAAGCTTTCTCTGCTGAATTTTGTATATCCAAATAGCTGTTAAAGGAACATAAATAGGTCAAGCTGATTCTCTTCTCTCCTAATCAGCTAACAGTATTTCCAAGTAGCTTTTAATCTTTTAATGTTGTATCGAAATAATCTAGGAATATTAGTGTATCATGCTTGATAGGATTCCAGTGATTGTATAAAACCTATACTGTTAGCTTCAAGTTGTGGAAAATTTGTCTCTCTCCAGATGCATACTAAACCATATTGCCTTTTTCACCAACAGGCCTTCTTAGCAGGGACTATAGGTTGTTGAAGTACAGCAACTACAAGAAGATCTCAGGTTCTCTTGTCTCAGCTAAGAATTATATTTAGATATACACTTAATTATAATTTATTACCTACTGCTGTTCTGGAATTAGATACAGGTTTGATCATTCTCCAATAAGAGCGTAACAGCTGTTACATCTTCACCTCTAAGACTTGCAAAGTAAGGATGACCAACAAGTTGTTCTCCAAATATTGCCAAATAGCCATAGACAGCATGACCAGTGATAAGGAATGGTGAGAACTGCAAGCCAACAATATTAAAGAAAAGCATGCACTGTTTATCTTTCTTTTAAAGAGACAGGCATTTGACAATGCATGGATCTGGCCCTAGAAAGTTTGCAACATGACAGAGGAGGAGTTTTTAGCTAGTAGTAAAGGAAGGGTGGCATACATAGAATCATCAATTTCTGGCATCTCTATTTTAAAAGGTTGCAGCTCTAAGTAATGGGCAAAAACCTGGAAAACTGAAAACCTGGAAAACTACTGCCAGACTGATAAACCTATAAGGTAGGTTTTGAACAAGGCAGTTATGAATGCAACTGCTGAGCAAAGATGGAAAAGAAGTAGGACCGGTAAGGAAGGAAAGAAGCAGGACTGGACACAATTTGGAAATACGCTGATGAGAAGGGGAAAAAAGCAGCAGCAGAAGGATGGGGAGAGACGGTTTCCTACATACACACTTTGTACTGACCTTGCCAGGATCAGGTGCTCCTGGGGCTCGCAGTAGTGGCTTTTCTTCAGTGATCTGCACTTCCTGGAGTTCTGTCATGGCACCTGGAACAAAAGACAAAGACATCAGGGGATATGTCAATTAGGAAAAAGTATTTATTACATTGATTGGGTGATGTCACTTTCATTCTTCCTCACTTGATAATGACACCATCAAATGATGACTGCACAACTGGAACTAACCTAAACAGAGAAGATGTGGATATCCAGATACAACACTTTCCAATGTAGCCACATTTTCTCTCATTCAGCTGCCAACTAGCAAGTGAACGCTAAGTCAGTCAGGTATATCCACAGTGGAGAATACTAGTAGCTCTGCACTGGTGATGTTACCTAGCTAGGTAATGAAATATCCTCAGGAAGAAAAAAAAATCACCAAGAAACTAAATCATCAAGAACTCAACATGCATATAAGAACCACCAATTGCTTTGAACTTAAGCTAACAAAGATGTGGACGCTGCCATCCATCAAACATATTTTTCTACTATGAACAACACTTAGCTGCTTCTAGACCTCTTCTGGACCGTGGTGCATCTATGAACATGTTATAAAGCAGGGCTCCCGAACCCTTGGTCTGTGAACCAACACCAGTCTGCGGCATCCCAGAAACCGGTCCACGCAAAGTGAAGTACCATCTGTGGGATGCAGGCAGCACACAAAACCGTGCCCCCTCCGGTCTGTGAAAAACATCTTTCCACAGAACCAGTCCCTGGTGCCCAAAAGGTTGGGGGCCACTGTTATAAAGTGTTAACAGGGCATGTTAAAAACCAGCACTCACACCATTAATCTTTGCTGTAAATGTGAGACATTGGATACACAAAAGATGCCAAGTATTTGAGTTAACATATAACATAAATTCTCAGTCTATCACCTCAAAAATAGAATTTTTTTTGAACAGCTTTTTAATAGACCAAATGTTTGGAAAAAAAACTTTTAGATTTTTTTGCAGACAGACTGATATGCTTGGTGTTTTGTGACCTTGTGATATGTGTGAGATACCTTGCCTTGATTTGAACGGAGTTTTAATTGTGGAGTTGAGATGGTTTTCTGTTCCCCATTTCACTGCAGAAAACCACCTTGCTTTCTGCAGATAGGGGAACTGAAGCTGGGAGAGGGTAACACAAGAGAGGTGAAGAAGTCAACCTTGATGATCTAGACCCCACTCATTATGTAATCAGGCATGATTTCAAGTGGCCAGCAACAGCCAAATGAGACAGGAATATAAGCCAGCTGGGTAACTTTGGGCCAGTCACTCTCTCCTGGCTAAACTCACCTCACAGGGTTGTTGTTGAGGAAATAGGAGGAGGAAGGAGTATTGTGCATGTTTGCTGCCTTGAGTTATTTATATAAAAAATGTTTTAAAATAAAAGTCTTTTAAAAAGGTACTTTACCAGTGAGCTACAGTCTTTGGTAGTCACTGTGTTTCAAAGATTGCCGTGACATGTTTTAGGACTCTTCCAATATTCCAGAAGGTTTCAAGATGCAATGCTCTGATAATGGAATGTTCCAAAATTAGCCCCCAATTGTTCTCAGTAACTTTGAACGAAAGTGTCCAATGCAATCCACAGATTGTTCAGTGCATCTAGTCTGTGGCCATGGAATGCCATGGCTCACTCTGCAAGAGGGACAGCAGAAGCAATGTAGATTCCCGCTAGGATGGCAGCAGATAATCAAGAATTGTAACAGTTGCTTCATGAGTAATACACATAGTCCTCAACTTATGATTACTTGCTTAGTGACTGTTCAAAGTTATGATGGACCTCCATGGGAATACTTATGACTTGGTTCTGAAGTTCTGATGGCCAGCCTCCCACCATGATCACATGAAAGCACTTTTGGTGCTTGGCAACTGGCTCACATATACAGCCATTTGTAGCATCCCACGATTACATGATTGTGATTTCACCAAAAAGTGGGATTTACTTCAATTTTTTTGGCAAAATCAGCTCTTAGCGAACTATTTGTTTGCTTAATGAGCACTGCAAAAAAAGTCATAAAATTGAGTTAGTCATGTGGATGACCCAATTTATGACTGTTATGACTTACAACCAAGGTGAGCAGGCTCCATTATGGGCATACGTCAAGGACCAGCTGTATAGTAATGACAAAAGAATTCCAAGAGAGGCCTTAATGCTCTTTGATTTTTTTTCTTTTAAATAAATATTCTGGAGCATATTCCAAACACCACTGGAATTAGCCATTTAGCAATGCATGAAACCTATTATTTTTTTATACAGCCCATTTTAATATGCTCCTAGTAGCCATCTGGAGCAGCAAAAAAGTTCAGATCCATAAAGCTGCAAAGTTGTGTTCAAACTTCTTCAAAAGTCTCCCCTAGGGCTCAGGCTTCCCTATTTGCCCCTTCCCTCCCATCATTCTTCCAGAAAATACATTCAGTTCCTAAATGTTTGCATTTCTAGAATAAAAGTTCTCCCCATGCAGGTTGCATATAAACAAATGTTTATATTATAGTGATAAAGGGCACTTCAGATCCATTAGAGCTACTCATTATGAAATAAAAGATTCAGATTGAAATGTAAACATAAACAGGTTTATTCAGGGCTTTTTTTCTCATAGAACGCCCAGAACGGAGTTCCGGCACCTTTTTTGGATGGAACCTTGTAGGGTAGGCAAGGCGGGTTGTATGACGTGTGTGAGTTCTGGCACCTTTTTTTTTTTTTTAGAAAAAAAGCACTGGGTTTATTTGATATACGATACCGTGCCCATTTTCTGAGTGGCAACCTTGTCTAACTTGTTGCCTTCTAAATGCATGGCTTTTAACAGATAATTCCTCAGCCAATTTACTGGCTGGGATTGTGGGAGCTCATCCTAATAGCTTTTCTGCATAAATTAATTTTTACTTGACTAATAACTATTAGTAAAAACACCCAACTTCTGAGATTATATATTATAGCGATACAATTTTGTCACCTACATTGTGTTTCCTGCTAGAATGTTTTATTGGGTTACAACATTAACCAGTGCAACTACTATAATTGCTAGGGGTAAAAGTTGGCAGTTTGGAGCCCTCCAGATGTTTGGGATCACGATTCCCACAATCATCCTATGGTCTATGCTGCCACCCCCTAATAAGAATTGAAGTTCAAAACTTGTGAAGGTACCAGGTTGTCTGTCCCTGCAATTAGGAAATCTCTTGCTGAGCTTATCCAAGGACACCATGATTGTTTCCTATTTTATGCAACTAATTACTATGTGCTTGGATTCTAAACAATGAATATGTATGAAGAAATGTTATGATTTAAATCTTGAGTTCAATCTTGGGGGTCCATGGCCATAGTTGGTGGCCACAAAAGGTATCTAAAGGGGGTCCATGGTGAAGAAAAGGTCAAGAACCACTAGTCTAAAGGATTGTTTCTCAACCTCAGCAGCTTTAAGACATGTATACTTCAACTCCCATATTGGCTGGGGAATTCTGGGAGTTGAAGTCTACACATCTTTAAGTTGATGAGGTTGAGAAACACTAGTCTAAATTCTAAATGTGAAGGCTTCCTCAGGAGGGGGAAAAAGTCCATTTTGGACTTTTATTATCATGTGTGTGCAATCTTAGCTTTCAACAAAGAGACATAGGTGAAGTTGTATGGCATCTGCGGTACAATCATACATTTTGGAATGTGCTCCAAAATGTATATTTAATGTCCTGCCGATTTGGACAGATCTAGGATAAGTTAAGTGTGTGGAATCAGGGGGCACATATTTACATATTATGTTAATGCTGTATAGCCATTTTAAACTCCTTCCTCTATACTCCCAGGAAGAGAGAATAAGACTAGTGATTTGAGTAGTCTTAGTTTACATATTATGGTAAGCCATGAGTCAATTAGTCACAATTTACATATAAACATTACACAAAACATTAAACTAAAACCAATCAATAGCTTGCTCTGATTGACCTACTCCGATTAGGTTAGTAGCAACAGTGATAGAAGTAAAAGAAAGGTCTTCAAAATTTAATATTGAAAGAGAAATTTAAAATTGAATTTGCTGCAGTGGAAATTTACTGAGTAGAGAAGCTATGGTGGGAAAGAGGAAAGGTTAACATAAAGAAAGGATGTAAAGGAAATATGTAGGCAAAAATAGCTGGGTCTTAAGAGTGGGAAAAGGAAGAAAAAAACATCTGTAATAGAAGATAACTAGCAAAACAGGAAAGAACCTATTTTTCTAAGAAGTCATAAAAAAGGGGGCCAGAACTCAGGCAACTGAGCACGCGCAATTAATTGATTAATATTAACTGACACACCTTGCATAAATTATCTCCTAATTTTAATGTACATGTGATGTATGATTTAGTATGTAGCAGGAAATATATAGGAGGCGGTCGGAAAGAGTGTAACCTCGTAGTACCTCAGCCAATGGGGAAAGAGGAGGGATGTGGCGGCCGGGACAAGGGATGTATAAAGAAGGAAATATTTTGGGTTAAAACTTTGGAGAGAACCAAGCTTTGATAGCTTCTCTCCTCGCTTATTGCAATAAACGAAACAAAAGGCCTTCACTGTGTCTTGGCTGGTTATTGGTCAGGCGAGCTTGCCTCTGGTCACGAAGGAAAGTAGCCAGGAGCACATAACAGCCTTGGGGGCTCGTCTGGGATTTACATCCGTTCCATCTTTGGCAGCCAGGGATATTCGAAAGGGGAGTGCGCACCTGGGTAAGTTTTTCCCAGCCCTAAAGGTCGGATTGCCCCTGCTCAAACAAGGAGGAATCGGAAATCCCGAGACAAAAAGCCAGGACCCAGTGAAAACCTAAGGGAAAGTCGGCCGACTTAAGGACTTCAACTCAGCCTGACAGGGAAGATACCAGAGGGGTATCTATATATCAGATGGGTATTAATGGGCAATAAGAGTTTGAAGAGGAGGGATACCTCCCCGGCCAGTGTGCCGGCCAATAAGGAAAAAGAAGAAAGGTATTTCCATTCCGGAATGAACCCCCTTAGGGAGATGGGAATCCCTTAGGGAGAATGTTGAAGTATTTTAAGTCAATGCTTTAAACAAGGCATTTGAATAGAGGAAGGATGATACATTACA